TCGCCTTCTACATATGCTCCATGGGTCATGGGTGGAGGTGACTCTGACAAGGGCCACTCCCGCACCCAAGATCTGACAAGCCAACTTTTCCCACGTTGACGTTAATTATTTAGCTAGTTGCCTCATGTTCCATAGATCCAGTCGCCTTCTTCACCCTAGACCCCATTGTTCGCCGCCATCACTACATTTGGAGGCTGTCTCCATCAAGCTAGTACATCCTCGCACAATGTCGCCATTGCTGCCTTCCGTCGGTGGTAACGAGGAAGGGGATGGTCCCATTGGGGAAAGGTGGGCGAGCCTTCACCTTTAATCAGCACCGATAGCAGGGAGTGCAGTGTCGAGGCCTAGCGACGGCAAAGTATGCCAGACTTGGCACCACCGTCTTTTTTTCCCATATTGGGCCACCTACTGCCTTCCGTCTGACAAGAGTGCCATCGTTGCGCTCCTCCACGTCAGATCTGGTTGATGGAGGCAAGTAGGAGGGCATGTAGCGGTTAGTGAAGGGGAGCAGGTCTGTCTATTGACCGAAGGTAGTCTTCAGGAGGAACACATGCATCCTCGACACCAGCGATGGACGAACTCTTCAACTGAAGCTTCAAATCCAGTGGCTTGTCGTTGGATCCAAAGGTGGCAATGGCAATCCAGTGCATGGGCTCGAGGTAAGATAACCCCGCCTCTAGGGGGACGGCAGGGAGGCAGAATGGCATGTGGGCAATGTTGGTAACAGAGTACCGAATAAGGAATGAGGCGTACATGGAGACAGGGATCTCATCGGTTGCCCATGAGCTGGAGTAGTCCTTGTAGAGCTCATCGATGGGAAGGGGTGGCCATCTTGCTTGAGCGACGAATAAAGGACGCATGGTCACTTTTGTCGATACGAAAATACCACCAGTAAAATATGATTCTTGTACAATCTTGTCTTGCATGATTATTGATTGGTCCATGAAAACATGTTAGGCTCACATGCAACAGAGATTGGGATACATCATACGCTCATCGCAAGAGATTTTATTATATGTATAGCCGCGTTCCATGTAAAAACTCGATATGAAGATGTACGAATCGTACATAATGACACTATACCGGCCTTGATATTATTATATTTTCAATTTGGTACGTTTACAATGCGATCAAATAGTTTCGATTAACCTTTAGAGTCTCTTTGAATCACATAAATAAAAAAACGAAGGAATAGGAAAAACATAGGTTTCTAGCAAGAATAACTGTAAAATAAAGGATTGCAAAAACATACGAATAACCGTTTGATTGGGCCGCAGTAAAAACACATGAATTTAAGGAGAGATAAAAGACTCAAAGATGCTTTCAATGAGATTTGACCTCATAGTATTCAATTTCCTCCAAAAAAACCTAAAAAAAAAGTTCCTCCAAAACTTACATAGGAAAAGGCATCTCATAGGAATTTCATAGATGCCATAGAATTCATTCTTTTGATTTAAATGGTTATATAGACTCTCTAAAGTTTCTATGAATTTCCTTTGAATCAAAACGACATTATTTCGTAGTAGTACAGTTATGTCCTGATTAAGCATTGATGGAGAGTGACGGTGAACACGATATTTGTCCTCACATCGCCATTGTATTGTACTTGTCCCTTTCTCCAACATTACAAGTGCACAACTGAACACTAAAACGTGATCATCGGATGACATAAACAAATCGCAGAAACCCCCGAAAATCCTAGCCGTACAACGCCCAGAATCACCATGATTGATCCGATTGCCTACTTAAATTACAAATCCACCACCCACACACAGGGGAGACGTGATGCGACGCCAAGCCTCGCTCTCTTCCTCCACGCCATCAAGCTAGTGCATCCTCACACAACATCACCATTGCAGGGAGCCTTCACCTTTAATCAGCACCGATGGCGGGGAGTGCAGTGTTGAGGCCTAGCGACGGCAATGTATGCTAGACCTAGCACCACCATATTTTTCCCCCATATTGTGCCACCTACTGCCTTCCATCTAACAAGAGTGCCATTGTTATGCTCCACGTCAGATCTGGTTGACAGAGGCAAGTAGGAGGGCATGTGGCGGTTAGTGAAGGGGAGCAGGTCTGTTTATTGATTGAAGGTAGTCTTCAGGAGGAACGCATGCATCCTCGACACCAGCGATGGACGAACTCTCCACCCGAAGCTTCAAATCCAGTGGCTTGTCCTTGGATCCAAAGGTGGCAATGGCAATCCAGTGCATGGGCTCGAGGTAAGATAACCCCGCCTCCAGAGGGACGACAGGGAGGCAGAATGGCATGTGGGCAATGTTGGCAACATAGTACAGAATGAGGAATAAAGCGTACATGGAGGCAGGGACCTCATCGGTTGCCCATGAGCTAGGAGGAGTCCTTGTAGAGCTCGTCGATAGGAAGTGGTGGCCATCTCGCTTGAGCGACGAATAAAGGACGCAGGGTCACTTTTGTCGATATGAAAATACCACATGTAAAAGGAAATCGCTATGTGTACGATAAAATTAATATGATTCTCATACAATCTTGTCTTGCATGATTATTGATTGGTCCATGAAAACATGTTAGGTTCACATGCAACAGAGATTGGGATACATCATACGCTCATCGCAAGAGATTTTATCATATGTATAGCCGCGTTCCATGTAAAAACTCGATATGAAGATGTACGAGTCATACATAATGACACTATACCACCCTTGATAGTATTATATTTTCAATTTGGTACGTTTAAAATGCCATGATAAAATAGTTTTGATTAACCTTTAGGGTCTCTTTGAATCACGTAAATAGAAAAAAATGAAGGAATAGGAAAAACACAGGTTTCTAGCAAGAATAAATGTAAAATAAAGGATTGCAAAAACATAGGAATAACCGTTTGATTGGGCCGTAGTAAAAGCACATGAATTTGAGGAGAGATAAAAGACTCAAAGATGCTTTCCATGAGATTCAACCTCATTGTATTAAATTTCCTCCAAAAAACCTAAAAAAAAGTTCCTCCAAAACTTACATAGAAAAAGGCACCTCATAGGAATTTCATAGATGCCATAGAATTCATTCTATTGATTTAAATGGTTATATAGACTCTCTAAAGTTTCTATGAATTTCCTTTGAATCAAAACAATATTATTCCGTAGTAGTACAGTTATGTCCTGATTGAGCATTGATGGAGAGTGACGGTGAACACGATATTTGTCCTCACATCGCCACTGTACTGTACTTGTCCCTTTCTCCAACATTACAAGTGCACAACTGAACACCAAAACGTGATCATCGGATGACATAAACAAATCGCAGAAACCCCCGAAAATCCTAGCCGTACAATGCCCAGAATCGCCATGATTGATCCGATTGCCTACTTAAATTACAAATCCACCACCCACACCCCACACCCACACACAGGGGAGACGCGATGCAACGCCACGCCTCGCTCTCTTCCTCCACGCCATCAAGCTAGTGCATCCTCTCACAATGTCACCATTGCTGCCTTCCGCCAGTGGTAACGGGGAAGGGAATGGTCCCATTAGGGAAAGGCAGGGAGCCTTCACCTTTAATCAGCACCGATGGCGGGGAGTGCAGTGTTGAGGCCTAGCGACGGCAACGTATGCCAGACCTAGCACCACCGTCTTTTTTCCCATATTGTGCCACCTACTGCCTTCCATCTAACAAGAGTGCCATCGTTGTGCTCCTCCACATCAGATCTGGTTGACAGAGGCAAATAGGAGGGCATGTGCGGTTAGTGAAGGGGAGCAAGTCTGTCTATTGACTGAAGGTAGTCTTTAGGAGAAACGCATGCATCCTCGACACCAGCGATGGACGAACTCTCCACCCGAAGCATCCAATCCAGTGGCTTGTCATTGGATCCAAAGGTGGCAATGGCAATCCAATGCATGGGCTTGAGGTAAGATAACCCCGCCTCCAGGGGGACAGCGGGGAGGCAGAATGGCATGTGGGTAATGTCGGCAACATAGTACCGAATGAGGAATGATGCGTACATGGAGGCAGGGACCTCATCGGTTGCCCATGAGCTGGGAGGAGTCCTTGTAGAGCTCATCGATGGGATGTAGTGGCCATCTTGCTTGAGCGATGAATAAAGGACGATGGGTCACTTTCGTCGATATAAAAATACCACATGTAAAAGGAAATCACTATGCGTACGATAAAAGTAATATGATTCTCGTACAATCTTGTATTGCATGATTATTGATTGGTCTATGAAAACAAGTTAGGCTCACATGCAACAGATATTAGGATACATCATACGCTCATCGTAAGAGATTTTATCATATGTATAGTCGTGTTCCATGTAAAAACTCGATATGAAGACGTACGAGTCGTACATAATGGCACTATACCGATCTTGATAGTATTATATTTTCAATTTGGTACGTTTACAATGCCATGATCAAATAGTTCCGATTAACCTTTAGGGTCTCTTTGAATTACAAAAATAGAAAAAACGAAGGAATAGAAAAAACATAGGTTTCTAGCGAGAATAAATGTAAAATAAAGGATTGCAAAAACATTGAAAAAAATATAGGAATAACCATTTGATTAGGCCGCAATAAAAACACATGAATTTAAGAAGAGATAAAAGACTCAAAGATGCTTTCCATGAGATTCTACATTATAGTATTAAATTTCCTCCAAAACACCTTAAAAAAAGTTTCTCCAAAACTTACATAGGAAAAGGCACCTCATAAGAATTTCATAGATGCCATATAATTCATTCTTTTGATTTAAATAGTTATATAGACTCTCTAAAGTTTGTATGAATTTCCTTTGAATCAAAACAAAATTGAGCATTGATAGAGAGTGACGATGAACACGATATTTATCCTCACATCGCACTGTACTGTCCTTGTCCCCTTCTCCAACATCACAAGTACACAAAGTGATCATCTGATGACATAAACAAATCGCAGAAACCCCCAAAAATCCTAGCCATACAACGCCCGAGAATCGCCATGATTGATCTGATTGCCTACTTAAATTACATTTCCGCACCCACACCACACACACACAAACAAACACGGAGACGCGACGCGACGCGACGCCTCGCTCTCTTCCTCCTCCTCTTGTCTGATCCGACGCCGTCGCCGGAGCAGCTGCGGGAGGGATGGACGACGACGACAGCGGGATCCAGGAGGAGCCTGCACCGCCCCCGCCACCCCCGCCTCCCCCGCCGCCGCCGCCGCCGCTGCGGAGGCTCCTGACGGCGACGCGGTCGGGTGGCTCGAGGTGGGTGGACGGCAGCGAGGTCGGCTCGTCCGAGTCCGCGCCGTGGTCGCTCGACGGTGACCGCTCCCTCCGCCTCTCCGTCGACTCCGCCGCCTCCGCCGGTGGCGCCAGCGGAGGCGGAGGCGGAGGCGGGCCGCTCTCGCGTGCGTCCTCCGGCGCGTTCCGGCGGCGCTTCGGGAAGCAGCCGAGGCGGGTCGACTCCCTCGACGTCGAGGCCATGTCCGTCCGCGGCGCGCACGGCCACAGCAGCAAGGTGAATCCCTGGAGGAACCTTGGGGGGGATCATTTCACTGTTGGTGAATACCTTTTCGCAGAGTGATTATATTGACCATTTCTTGATTAGATAGGGAGGATCACGCCTGATGGGATTGATCACCGAATGTTTATTTTGATTAGTAAATGTTTTGATTTCGTTTGGAATCTGGGAAACATTTTGCTATATCTGAATGGTAGTATTGCAAGGATCAATGGGACCTCTGAACCTGATGATGTGATTGACTCACTCCTCTTGATTGGCTGCTGCAACCTGAACCACAGGAGATATCAATGCTGAGCACCGTGGCGATGGCGTTCCAGACCCTCGGAGTCGTCTACGGCGACATGGGCACGAGCCCTCTCTATGTCTTCAGCGATGTGTTCAGCAAGGTGCCCATAAAGTCCGAGGTCGAGATTCTTGGAGCGCTTTCTCTGGTCATGTACACCATCGCGTTGATCCCTTTCGCAAAGTATGTCTTTATAGTTCTGAAAGCTAATGACAACGGAGAAGGTATAGCTCTGTGCCATTTTGACATCAGATATGTAGAGCCAATCATGTGAACTGCCTGTCGGTTTGGTGTTCTCTGAATTTGTTGGCTTACTGATTGTGTTGTTACATGATTTTTCAGGAGGCACTTTCGCGCTGTACTCACTGATCTGCAGGTATGCAAAAGTTAGTCTGCTTCCGAATCAGCAACGTGTGGATGAGGATATTTCTAGCTTTAGGCTTAAGTTGCCTACCCCTGAGCTTGAGCGAGCTCTATCTGTCAAAGAATCCCTTGAAAAGAATCCAGTCTTCAAAAACATTCTTTTGTTCTTGGTTCTGATGGGAACTTCTATGGTAATCGGGGATGGCATTCTCACTCCATCGATGTCAGGTGCTTCACGAACAAAAATGTTTCCTGACTGTAGTAACAGAGATTCTGCTATCTCCACCCACATTTTTCTTAATTGTTGATCCAACCATTCTTTTTTACTTTTGTTCAGTTATGTCTGCTGTCAGTGGTCTGCAAGGTCGAGTTCCTGGATTTGGGACAGGTTTGATGTTCTGTATGCCTTGCTAAATATCACCGATTGAAATTTGCTTATATGATACATCATTAACTCATTACGGAAGCATTTAACTGATGTTTTATATACTTTCTGAGGTTACAAGACGTGTTTTTTCTACGCAGATGCTGTTGTAATCGTTTCGATCCTGTTTCTTGTACTATTGTTCAGCGTACAGAGGTTTGGAACTGGGAAAGTTGGTTTCATGTTTGCTCCTATTTTGGCACTGTGGTTTATTAATTTGGGAACCATTGGAATTTACAACTTGGCTAAATATGATATATCTGTTGTGAGAGCATTCAATCCAGTGTATATCTATTTATTTTTCCAGACGAATGGTATAAAGGCATGGTCAGCTCTTGGTGGTTGTGTCTTGTGCATCACAGGTAAATCCTTACTCAAGCAGCAATATTATCAGTTTAGGTTGTCTTTTCATGTTTAATGACAAAAGTGACAACTGCCAAATTTTACATCCACACTAATTGTTGTCCTCAAGAGTCAGTAGTTTACAACTCAGATACTTAGTAGTACCAAGACTCTACAAAGGAGTATCATGATGGATGAAAATATCCCTTCTGAATTAATGTGCAGCTATCTCTGTTTATGATTTGATTTTGGATGAATGCATCCTGAACCATATTTCCTGTCACTCATTCAATATTTCTGAATCGATCCTGCCAGTTATGTGTAATTACTCCAAAAGTCTGAAATACCATTTTTCTTGAGTGAATCATTGAACACTAACACTGAGTGATTGTGCTGCATTCCAGAAATATTTTATTGCACTCATTTGCCTTTTTTTTAATTGTAGGAGCTGAAGCAATGTTTGCAGATCTGGGGCATTTCTCTGTGAAATCAATACAGGTTAACACATTAACAAGATCAACAATTGAGTCATTTTTTTCTGATACTCTGTGTGTTTTGTGTGATACTTGCCAATCTTTTTTAATCAAGACATAAATTTTGTTATCTTTTGCTTGTTCTAGGTAGCATTCACAGCTGTGGTATTCCCTTGTTTGCTTATCGCTTACATGGGCCAAGCTGCATATTTGATGAAATATCCATTTGCTGTAGAAAGAATATTTTATGATTCTGTACCAGGTAAAAATTCCATCTGGGCTGGTCATTGTTATTATCACTCTTAACAATTGTCTTTTCCTGTTCCATTGTGTAACTCAAGTTTTCTGTCTGCAATGCAGAAATTCTTTTCTGGCCAGTATTTGTGATTGCTACACTTGCTGCTATGATTGCCAGCCAAGCTATGATATCAGCAACTTTCTCTTGCATAAAGCAGGCCATGGCTCTTGGTTGCTTTCCTAGAATTAAAATAATTCATACATCCAAGAAAGTCATGGGCCAGATTTACATTCCTGTTATGAATTGGTTTCTCATGGTCATGTGCATCATCATTGTTGCCACTTTCAGGAGTACCAACGACATTGCCAATGCTTATGGTCAGTAATTTGGTCTCAGGGGATTATTCAATACATATATTTTTTTAATTGAATGCAGTTTATCATAAGCAGTCATCTTGGCAAATGATCCCTCCCAAAATTTCCACCCTCAAACTTGCTATATTATAACATCCATAATCAATTTATAAAAAGTACTGTTGCAATTGTGACCAACCTTTGGAAATGGTTACAATGCACTGATGAACAACTTCCATTCCGTTCTGCAATGTCAAATACTTGTAGTGTGTTGCAATGCTAGCATCTATTATTTTCCTCGGCAACTGTCTCATTATTGCTGATACTGATTTTCAAAATATTTTCAGGTATTGCTGAAGTTGGAGTTATGATGGTTAGCACTGCACTGGTTACGTTGGTGATGCTTCTTATATGGCAAACCAATTTGTTCCTCGTTATGTGCTTCCCTGTTATTTTTGGTTCTGTGGAGTTTGTTTACTTAACAGCCGTTCTGTCAAAGATACAAGAAGGAGGATGGTTACCTCTGGCTTTCTCATCATTGTTCCTCTGCATAATGTACACATGGAACTACGGAAGTGTGTTGAAGTACCAGAGCGAGATGCGTGGGAAGATTTCCCTGGACTTTATCCTTGACCTGGGATCCACGCTTGGCACAGTAAGAGTTCCAGGGATTGGTCTTGTGTACAATGAGCTGGTCCAGGGAATTCCGTCGATCTTTGGCCATCTTTTGGTCACACTCCCAGCAATGCACTCTACGATTGTCTTCGTTTGCATAAAGTATGTTCCTGTCCCATATGTCCCATTTGAAGAAAGGTTCTTGTTCCGAAGGATTGGCCAAAAGGACTACCATATGTTCCGTTGTGTTGCACGGTATGGTTACAAGGATGTCAGGAAAGAGGAACATGGCTTCTTTGAGCAGCTTTTGGTTGAAACCCTGGAGAAATTTTTGAGGAAGGAATCCCAGGAAATGGCACTTGAAGCAAGCGCAATGGCAGTAGAGCGTGACGATGTTTCTGTTGTATCTGATATCCCTTCATCTCCTGTTGAGGCTGGGGATCTACATGTTCCACTGCTTTCTGATCAGAGGCTGGGTGATGGCACCCAAACATTCATCACCGAAGGCAATACACCTGTGCTTCCCACGAGTTCCATCTCAGAAGAAGACCCCAGCTTGGAGTATGAGCTGGAGTCACTGAGAGAAGCCATAGCTTCTGGATTCACATACCTCTTGGCACACGGTGACGTGAGGGCGAGGAAGGAATCGTTCTTCACGAAGAAGTTCATCATCAATTACTTCTACGCGTTCCTCAGGAGGAATTGCAGGGCTGGAACCGCAACCTTGAAGGTCCCTCACTCGAACATTATGCGTGTCGGGATGACATACATGGTGTGATTGGGGCTTTGCAAGATTATGTGTTAGTGCTGCAAGATTGTTCCTTTTTTTTTCTTTCTTTCTTTTTTACCATGTATTGGATGGAATCGTACACCAGCTGCTAGTTTTAGGGGCTGTACTGCAGTGATGAGCAAAATCACTACTGCTGCTGGCCAACTGCTCAGCATTTTAGTCCGCAGAATTGGCCTTATATGTGCTCACTTTTCAGTGAATTTGTGCCAAGTTGTTTATGTGGTATTCATGGAGATTGTATTTGTAGCAAGAGCAATGCAATCTGAGTTGATCTCTGCCACCCTGATAAGTTTTATAACTTCAGTTCTGAATATAAATTAGTGATCTTTACTAAAAAGAACATCTTCTGTATCTGGGAGGTGGCACATGTAGATGAATTTTGATCTGATTTCAGGTAGGAAACTAGATGGAGCATTCAGATATGTTTACTTTTGGTTTAGAGTTCAAGACAAGAATAATGCTGATGCTTGGGCCTACTGAACATGCAAACCTGACATTATGTCAAACCTCTCAATTAGGAACCTGTATTGTCAATCAACCCTCAAAAGCTGCATAGTAACAACTGCTTTTTCTCCCTTGATGAGAGACATCCATCCCCAACATTCCCTCAGATCCACTCATCCATGTGAATATATTATGTCACCTACAGTACATGCCAGAACATATTGCAGCAATCAGAGTTGCAGCATCCTAATTTTACAGGACATCAGAACATTTATCATCTTTGTTTCCAACATGATGCTACTTTGGTTCCAAAATATAAGAATTTCTTGGTTGTTCAGCAAATAGTACTAAGGTTAGGTCAAACAATTCTTTTTTATAGTTACTTGAGTTATCAAATTTTGAATTACTAAGATTCCCTTTGTAACAATCTGATTGGCTTAGGAATCATTACAACGATTAGAACCATAAGAATCAGTTTAGAAATGCTTTACATTGTAGTACAAAATTTGAATTCTAAAAATCCATGTATTTTGGAACGGATGGAGTAGGTGACAGCGAATATATAAAAAGGATAGACTAACCCTAAATATCTAGCAAGACATCTGAAGGCCATGACCAAATGTTTGGCAGCTCTATGTCCCACTGCATTATTTCCTATTTTCCCTGCCCCTTCCAACTCAGACCCTGATCAAACTGAGCACTGAGAGCAGAGCCTGCTACTACTACTGCCTCTCTCTGTCAAAACATTATCCCAAGATTATCCTAGAAAGCACTAAACAACACTATCGGCATCAAAAGAATTGCCCATTATTGATGGCATGGCAGTGGTACTGTCTCTCTTGTGGCCTACTACTCCTCAAACAACACTTCATGTGCCTCCTCCAAATACATCTGCTCTTTTGTTTAGTTTGCCCATGAAGTCAACTCTGCTCCAAATCTCATAGCAAAGGGTTCACAAAACCAAATAGGAGTAACTCACAAAAACCAGACCAAGGCAGTTTTTTCTGATTTTCTTTTCCAAAAATTGCTTGAAAGCCGTTGAATAATTCATGAAATCCAACCAAATGTTATAAAACTTTAAAATCTAGTTTGATTTTTTTTACTTAACCGAAAAATCGAACGGTTTGTGTTCCTGAGCGGCAAGTTGGTTTTAACCAACCGCTTTTCATTGGTTCTGTAAACCCTGGTTCAAAGTGCAACACCTTAGGCCAAAACACTAGACATGGTTTTCATAAACTCCACATCATCAAGAAATTAGTACTAGACACTACTATTCCATACTTAAATTTAATGCTCTTTATCTCACATGATGTCTTAGATGTTGTGTAGAAACCATGTCTCATACAAGACATGGTTCCCTTCTCTTTCCTCATTTATTCACTTGCCACATTATTTTTCATCATAGGTATCACCTTATTTAATGCTATGGACACCATTCTAGTCATTGGGTTGGGAATGGCCTTACCAACATGCTGTGCTATCTGCCTCTGAAGAGCACTATCATAATGTGGATGCAATGAGTAAAAGAAGAGCCTAAAAGAAGTAATTAAACATGGGATAAGATTGTTTAGTTAGTATCACATTATAGCATGAGTGCATGTGGTTAAGAGTTAATGACCTTTGAGGATTTTAGACCCCTAGCATCAGTGGACGAGGCATGGACCTTTGGTTCTCCGAGGAGATATATTCAGAAGGTCAGATTAAGAAATGTGACTACCTATGACTAATCACATGAAGGGAAATAATTCACATTCAACAAATTTTTACAGTATATTTGTACGGATGTGAATAAATAATTAGGAAGTTCTCCCACCGTATATCCGCTTGTGAATATAGAGAACGGCTTTCTATCCATAACTTGAACAATGACGTACTCACTCCGTTTCAGATTATAAGACGTTTTAACTTTGGTTAAGGTTAAATTATTTTAAGTTTGACTAAGTTTATAGACAAATATAGTAATATTTTATAATACTAAATTAGTTTCATCAAATCAATAATTGAATATATTTTCATAATAAATTTGTCTTGGGTTGAAAATGTTACCATTTTTTCCTACAAACTTAATCAAACTTAAGGCAGTTTGACTTTGACCAAAGTCAAAACGTCTTATAACCTGAAACGGATGGAGTATATAAATATAATTTATTTACTTTTATAGCCAAGGAGTTGTAGAAATGATCATGTTTGAAATTCATAAAAAGGTTATTGAGAGTGGGTCACACTGCTTGACCTAGGTTATTAATTAATTAGTAATTACGATGAGATCACATGTACTTATCTTGTGTTTAATGGGTGATAGAGACTTTAAGCAAATAAACAATTTCTTTTTGGAAGGTGAGAATCAGTACAGTTTTTATTTATAACCAAGGGTGACCTGGACTTATCTGGTTGGATGCAATCGACGCCGTGGCGTGCGTGGTCGGGCAGCTGCACGCAGTCGCCGTCACGCGGCGCCAACGCCAAAATTTCCTATTGGGAATCACTGTGGTGAACAGTGTATTTCGTTGATGGCAAATTTTAACCCGTGAAAACTAAATCCCACAATGCACCAAAGGATGTGCCACGTCTTTAAAATAGTATTAACCGTAGGATGCTAACAGTGAAATGACATACGCCGTTGGATAAACATAGATTACAAAATAAAGATGTTGGCAAATCTTCGGGGCTGTTTAAACCTTACCAAATTTTGATAATGCTAAAATTTTGGTAAGTTGACAATGTTACCAAAATTTTGACAGGATTTATTATGTATTTATTAAAGTTTGACAATAAACTAAATACAGCCACTTTTTTGACAACTTTGTAAAAAAAAGGAAAAAAAGGGTAAGGTTGAAAATGACGTCAATCTGAATAGCTATGGAGGCTTCTAAAGTCCAAATCCAAAATAGATAAATAGGTGAGAAGAGAGATATGCAATACTATGGGACTCATCTTTTCGCTTATGCTTATGCTTATCTGCCAAAATTTAAATTTTCAACCTTAAATTTGGAGCTGATTTTAAGTTTTTTCGTCGATGTTTATTTTTCAGCCTTTGCTTTTAGATCGCCAAGAACACATATATAAAAGTTTTATTCACAAATTATTTTTCGTTTGCAAATATGTCGTTTCGAAACGATGGTTCCGTATGAGTATGAGCACATATGGCAATGCAGTTTTGTAATTTGATCCTTCTATAAAATTCATTTTACATATAAGCCCTTAATTTGATATATCTTGATTTCTCAAAATGGTTCCATTGTACTACTATACCTTTCCAATATATAAGAAATTTAGAATTCGACACGGGTATTAAAAAATAGATAAAATTAAATGATAGAAGATTACGATTGATTAAGATGAGTAAGTAGCTTGAGAAATTAACAGGTGGAATGTTGTGATTGGTTATTTACTCAACTTTTTATGAAAAAATGTATAATAGGCGGGTTAGAGTCACGTGAATGTGTGACTTCATGAATGTTGTGATTGGTTATTTACTCAATTTTTTATGAAAAAAACAAGTATAATAGCCAGGGAGCGTGGGCCTATGCCGGTTGATTGAGTTAGCTGACCGACAAATAAACCAAATAGGTTTATGGATGTATATGAGATTTGGTTTTTAAAAGGTCCATAAATAAATATGAGATTTGTTTTTCATATGGTCGATTGATCCCTGTGAAAAGGGCATATTAAACATGCCAATGCTAATCATGAAATTCCCAGATCCCACATTAATTGGACACCACTAAATTTTACATACACATCTCTATTCACGGCTATCATTTGAAAAATACTAGTACTTCTTATTACTCCGCCCATCTACAAATATAAGAAATTTCTAAATGATAGGTGTGGTCTTTTACCAAACAAGTAAACTCTCCGGGGTACCAGAGTAATTCCACCTCAATTTTAAACTCTACTAAATAACCTAGGACCAATTTTATTTGTGGACGGATGGAGTACATAGTTTAGGGCATCATCAATGTATGTTTATCAAGTGGTAGTAAGGTGGGACCCACAGAACTAGGTTATAGTTGTTTCTACCTCTTACCATATGTGGGTAGTAAGATATGACCCACATGTAAAGCAACGATTGGATAGAAGAGAGAGAGAGAGTGAGAGTGAGAGAGAAGAGAGTTTAATGTTTTTTATGTTTATTACCAGGTAGTAGTGCTATTGCTTGGTATAGTTATTACCTGCTTTACTACCCATCTCCACAATGTTAAAGTAGGTAGGGGTCTTACTACCCATTTTCATCCACATTGTAGATGCCCTTACAATATGACATGCGAACAAGCTGCATTACAACTTAAAATGAATGTTATACGAACACCTATTTTAACTACCTAGGTGAAACCCCGCGCGTTGTTGCGAGAGTTTAGTATGATAATAATAAGTAAAAATAATATGTAAGATAGCTAGACAACATAAGATTATATAAGTTAACGTGATTTATGATAATTTAAATTTACATAATATGTATACAATGATGATTCAAATGTAAAAGTAAGGTTATATGAGTTTATGAAATAAGAAAAGTATTGAGATAGTTTGGATCGTAGATTAATCATCTAAAGGTTAAAAATAATTGAGGTGGATTAATAAGAGAAGAAAATAAGAGAAATAATTTAGACCATAGATTAATCGTTTGAGCACTAAAAACAATTAATGTGATATGGCTTAATGAGAGAATAGAGAAATAACATTAACTAAGTGATGATAAACTAAATAGGTATATAGCAAATTATAAAAAATAATGAAGATGCATATTGAAATATTATGTGAATTATGTGGGATGATGATTTAACATGCTTGCATTTTAAAAGCTCTAAAATTTTATAAATTATAATATTATGGATAATA